GGGGGGCGCATCCGGCCCCCAGGCCTTAGGTTGCCTACCCCTGCTCTAGTTGTAAATAAATCTCATACCTTGCACACAAAAAAAAGCTATAGGCAAATCTGGATGCAACATCTTGTAGATCTAGCAGAAGCATTGTTGTTGTTATTGCATGCCTTCAAGTCGTTTCCGACTTCTGGCGACCCTATCATGGGGTTTTCTTGGCAAGATTTGGCCAGAGGAGTTTTGCCATTGCCTTTCCGTGAAGCTGAGAGAGTGTGACTTCCCCAAGGTCACCCAGTGGGTTTCATGGTTGAGCGGGGAATTGAACCTTGGTCTCCAGAGTTGCTGTCCAACAGTCAAGCTACTATGCCATGGCATTTTCACTATGCCCTGGCACTTGGGCTTAGGATAAGAGTCCAGCATTTTATCAGTGCTAGAGGATCAATCATAGAACGTAATGCTCACACTTTCAAAGGATGAGTGTAAGCAAAGGGGTATGCGGAAATGAAGGAAGATGAGAAAGATGGAGGAGGAAAAGTGAGTAGAAGAGGAGGAGAGGAAGTAGAGGAGGAAAAGGGAAAGTAGATGGGAGAAGAGAGGAATTAACAAGAAGTGAAGAAAGTGAAGGATATGAGGAAGGTATGTGGAATGGATATGGTCTGGTGGGACAAGTAGAAGATATGGAAAAGAGTACGTAATATAGGAGATAGATAGATAGATAGATAGATAGATAGATAGATAGATAGATAGATGAAAAGAGACAAAATAATTATTTTTAATTTTTTATTGTAACATAAATTAATATACAAAGATACAAAGATACACACATACAGATACTACAAATACAAACAGAAAAATTTAGATTTTTAGATGGGATAAAAAATTTAGATATGAAATATACGGGTAAGACCCTTCTTTATATGATTACATTAGCAAGAATTTTGTTAGCGAGTAAATGGAAATCACAGGAAATACCAACTATTGATAGCTGGATACATAAATTAGTTGATATTGCAGAATTAGATAAAAGAGAAGATTTAGAAGCTGGAAAATTCTCTAAAGATGCAAATAAGAGGTGGATACCTTTGTATTTATTTTGTGAAAAAAACATGGAAAATTTAAGTACCATGTTTAAACTATGTTCTACTAACAGGAAAATATCTAGCAATATTAAATGATTAAATAGTCTAGCAATTGTAATTGGGCTTGTATTTACACGAAGTTGAAAATCAGTTGTAATCTCAACACAAAATAATTATTAATGGAGATGGAACGAAGCACAATTGATGTTGGCAATGCTACGATGGTAAGATGATGTGATTGATGTTACTGTGAATATATGATGTAGGTGTTCATATGGTGTTTATAATGATATGTATGTCTGTGTAGTTGTAGAAATGATGAATTTTAAAAAATTTTTTAAAACAACAACAACAATGTGCACACTTTCAGGAGTGGAAAAGGACACTTCCTATCAAAGGAGGGTTTCTAGAATGTGCCAATGTTTTAACCTGTTTTTCTAGGGATAAAGTGTTCCTTGGTATTGACAGCTGGCAGCATTTAAAACATTATTTAAAACAACAAATCTTTTCCAGCAGATCTACCCAGTCAATTTTAAAACATGACTTTTTAACCTGTATATTTTAAAGAAGGTACTCATATGAGTGTACTTTAATAGTTTTATAGTATCATATTTTAACTGTTGGTTTTATGTGTTTTCCTCTTTGTGTTTTGTATTTTAATATGCTGTACCCTACCTCGAGCCATGAGGAGAGGTGGGAAAGAAATAGAAATAATAACATTAATATTAATAATAATAATTTTTTGTTGTTGTTGACAGGAGCTTCTTTTCGAATAGCTGCTTTTGAATTACAATTTCAAGAATTCCCCATAAAAAGGAGCTCAGGGGAGACGGGGAAAATGGAATGTAGTAACATTTTAAAGACTTTTTAAAATAGTTTGCATGAGATTTTGTGAATATTATAAACTCACTTATTTGGATGCTTGTTGTGGGTGTGTGCCTTCAAGTCATTCCTGACTTACAATGACCCTAAGGGGAACCACCTATTCATGGGGTTTTCTTGGCAAGTTTCTTCAGAGGGGGTTTGCCATGGCCATTCTCTGAGGCTGAGAATGTGTGATTTGCCCAAGGTCACCCAGTGGGTTTCCATGGCTGAGCTGGGATTTGAACCCTGGTCTCCCAAGTGTTCTAGTCCATAGGGCAAAACACTATATCACGCTGGCCATGTTTAGGTATAAAACATATATACACAGTTGTATGAATAAGATGGAATGTGATAGGATCCAGAAAGATTTTATTTATTGTATTTACCATATACCCCACTGTTTATGACTCTCACCTGCAATTTTCAATGGACTGTGTACAGAGATATAGGTCTTTGAGATCTTTACAGTGGTCAGTTTGTGTTGGTGTGAAAATGCAACAAATCTGCTTACCAAAAATCAGTTTCTTGGGTGAAAAGATTCACTTTATTGCAGTAGCAAGGACTCTTGTATGTAGTATTCAGTGAAGCCATTGTCTTTGTTCATACCTCTGATAGTGGATTGGAATTTGTAAATATAGGTCAATCCAGCTGTTTCTCTTTCTAGTCTTTTCCTTTTTAATTTCCTGGTCTAAGGGCCACAACCTGTAAATCGTGTCCAGGAAACTTGAAATGTCCCACAACTGTTTTTGTGGTATTGTCATTTTTAATGTTATATTTGTGCCCATTTATCCTCTTAAGAAAGTCACATTCTCTCAGCCTCAGAGGATGACAGTGGCAAACCCTCTTGCCTTAGAGTTGCCATAGGTTGGAAATGATTTGAAGACAAACAACAACAACAACCTATTGCATGGCATAGTGGTTTGAGTTTTGAACTATAACTCTGGAGACCAGGGTTCGATTCCCAGCTCAGCCATGAAACCCACTGGGTGACCCTGGGTCAGTCACACTCTCTCAGCTTCAGGGGAAGACAATGGCAAATCTCCTCTGAATACGTGCCAAGAAAACCCCATGATAGGTTCGCTTTAAGTTGAAAATGACTTGAAGACTGTCCTCTTTGTCCAACGTAGAGTGTGGAGGGGCATTGCTGGCATAGGATGGCATATGTCACATTGGAGAAGGGACAACTAAATTGTGGGTGATGTTACTAGACCCTGCAATATTGCATATAAACCTTGGGCAAGGCACACTCTCTCAGCTTCAGAGGATGGCAATGGCAAACCCCCTCTGAAGAAACTTGCCCGGAAAATCCTATGATAGGGTCACTCTTAGGGTCTCCAAAAGTCAGAAATGAATTGGGCGCACAACAATATTGTACCTAGAGTAGATGTGGGTCAGAGCTGGTACCTGGGTTTGTGGTAGGGCTTTGTTCTTATATCACCATCCATGTTGTGTGTCTTGTAGCGAGTATCGGTTGAGATTTGGAGTCTCTGCCGGCCAATAAAGGCTTAGGGCCTTTGCAGACTGCCAGAAATAGTGCACATTAAATTGAGGCACTGCCCTGGCTCAGTGCTAGGGAATCACGGGAACTGTAATTTATTGTGGCACCAGAGCGCTCTGACAGAGAAGGCTCAATGTCTCAAAAAAAAATACAATTCCCATGACTCCCTAGCACTGAGCCAGGGCAGTGCCTCAATTTAATGTGCATTATTTCTGGCAGTCTGCAAAGGCCCTTAGCTACCAGAGCTTGAGAAGGTTGTATTATTCTCCACAACTGGTTGTAGCTCCTTGATAATGCATTTGCGTGGTATCAGCTGCGGACTGTAGATGACCACAAAAGGTGTCCAGATTTTGTGGTTTCTTTGTCCTGTAGTAGTTTGCTCCTGAGTACTACTCTTGTCCTGTTGATTTGTTTATTAACGTCTTTAGGGGAATATTGTAGCCTGAGAAATTCTTGTTGTAAATCCAAGAGTTGCATCTCTGTCTTGTGGATCTGAATAGATGCAGGTGTATCGGAGGGCTTGGTTCTGAACAATAGATGTGGTAGTGTGTTCTGGCTGGAAGCTGGACAGGGTGACCAGATGTCATAACTGCCAAGGAGGATCACGTTTTCTTTTTAAAGAACTTTTTCTCTTGCTTTTCTTTTCCTCTTCTTTTTTCTTAATCAATCACATTCCCATAATTGTTTTACAAATAATAAAAAAGAAAGGTATGCTGGGTCGGGCATAGGGCAGAAAGTCAGGGTTAAAGGGAAATGCAGAAAAAAGCTTGGGCCCATTTGATGGCCCCTGTTGCACTATTGAAAAGAAGTGTGATAAGAAAATCCCAAAATCAGCATGGTTCTGTTCAGTTAAAAAACGAAGTTGCAACAAGACCAAGGCTCATGAGATAAAGTCCTTGGCGATGGCTTGCAAAGAAATCACATTTTTTTTACACTCAACTGTTGCTGTTTTCTGCAATTTGGCTAGAAATTGTCTTGTGGGAGCCCATGTCTCTGTTTTGTGTGGCAAAGCATCACTTTTATTTACCAAGCATTTGAGTGTCATGAAAGCCACTTTCTACAGAGTTCAGCACAACGCAGCAGAAGCGATAATAAATAGATCACAACTGCACCCACCAATTTTCAGCATTAGAGACTGTCATTTTCTTTTAAAGGGAAATTTTTATGATGTAATGCCACTCCAACAAGAAAGGTTGCACCAAGCAAACTTTCCCTTAACCTGTACAACAATTTTAAAGTGTTGTGCCCTGGTGTTGTGAGGATAACCATCACTGTTACTGAGTAACACTTAACAAACAGCAGTTGCAGGTTCATCAAGAGTCAGTGGGGAATTTGAGTTCGGATATCTTGAGGTGATTGAAATTACCATGACTTCAGTTGGCAGGAAAAACAGAATATGAAGAGGCTGGGGGAACAGCATTCCTTTCTAATGCAAACCTCTTTGTCAATCCTGGTCTGGTCCTTCATGAAATGCTAAGCCTGTTCCTTGGCAATGTAATTTCACACAGCAGGTTCACATAACTCAATGCTTTTCTATAGAATTAAATTGTTCCTATAAAGAGTAGCCTGTGGTAGTGAGTAGGATAGAAGTAATGTTTGTCTGGTGAAATATTTGATCATGTGAACCCACACTTATGAAGTGGCACAGCTAAATGCCAATTTTCTGCGTTTACCCTAAGCTACACCTTAGCTGGAAAAAAAAGTGACATATTTCCTGACCTTCTATTCTTTACTAAATTTGCCACCAACTTTAAGCTTCTTCTCCTGCATCCCCAGGGCAATTTTCCCCACTCAGAGTTGTTTTAATTCTGAACCAGCCATATTGCACTATTAGTCAAAAATGGGATTTGGAAAGACTGTACAACATTACAGATCAGTGGCTACACATATCTTCCAGGAAGATAAGTGCTTTTATGCTCAGTCCATACTACAAATTGAGACATGAAGGAATCACTTTGGTTTTCACAAATATCAGGCTCTGCATCATTGCAGTACCCTACCAACAAAAATGTCTTTTTGTGTTGCTTTGTTTCAGACCTTCCCTGTCCCTGCAGTCTCCTGCCCATCAAGCAGCCAGGTTCCACACTTCCAGAGCATGGACCTTGCTTCTCAAACGTGGCCAGTGAATATGAGTGGTGCAAACCGTACAGAGACTTTCGCACTACTATCTCAGCATGCCCCTCCTTCCTCTAATGAGAGCCCTCTTTACGTTGACTACAAACCACCTGTTTTTGACCTTCTTCCTATACCCAAGGCTGTGCTTTACATGCTCATGGCTGCTGCCGTGGTGGTGAGCGTGGCCTATGCTATTGTTGGTCACTTGATCAAGGACCTGGCACATGACCTGGCAGGTAAGTCTGGCAAGGGACAGACAATAAGCTATGCCTTCTATTCTAATTGGCTCACAGAACAATTCAGTACCAAGAAAAGCTTTTATTGTTGTTAACTACCCTCAAGGTGATCTCGACTCATGGTGACCCTATGGATGAGACATCTCCAAGACCCCCTCTCCTCCACTGCTCTGCTTAATTCCTGCAACCCCTTAATCCCCATAGTGACCTCCTTCATAGAGTCCATCCATCTGGCATGTGGCCTTCCTCTCTTCCTACTTCCCCTCACCTTTCCCAACATTATTGTCTTTTCCAAAGAGTCCTCTCTTCTCATGATGTGTCCAAAGTACGACAGCCTCAGTTTAGTCATCTTTGCTTCAGGGAGGTTTCTGGTTTGATCTGCTCTAGGACCCATTTGTTTGTCCTTTGGCTGTCCATGGGACCCTCAATACTCTTCTCCAGCACCACGTCTCAAATGAATTGATTTTCTTCCTGTCATCTTTCTTAACTGTCCAGCTCTCACATCCATACATGGTAATAGGGAATACAGTGGCTTGTATGATTCTAACTTTTGTGCTGAGTTGTATGGTTTTGCATTTTAGAATCTTTTCTAGTTCTTTCATAGCTACCTTCCCCATTCTTAAATTTTCGTCTGATTTCCTGACTGCATTCCCCATTTCTATCAATGTTTGATCCCAGGTATGAGAATTCTTTTATTTAACCTTTGAAAAAGTGAATTTCAAGTATATTGCCCAATATATTTTTGATTATAGGAAAGGAGCAAGGTGCTAAGCAAGGCAACAAAGCCCAATCCATAAATAAAAGATATTCAGTTCTTTCTTTAGGTTTCTTTCAGCACGCATTGCCCATTTAAATGTCATTTCATAGTTATGTAAGGCAGGGACAGGCAACCTTTTTGAGACCTGGGCCGGTCTCCCGTA